CCCAGGGTGCTCGTTGTCACCTATCTGGTACCTGTGGTGTTGTACGTGGCTGGGGAAGAAAATACCTTCATTGACATCAGTGAGGAGGAGGAACGGGAAATGAGTAGCTCGGCATCCAACCTTGTGCAAATGGGGTCTTTCATGCTGTCGTGCCTGTTGGGGGACCCTCGTATAAAAAGGCTGAAGGAGAACGACCTGTACTGGGTGTCCACGCTACTAGACCCCCGGTATAAGCAGAAAGTGGCGGAAATGTTACCGAATTACAACAGTATGAAAGGATGCAGCATTTGCAAAATAAATTGAAAAGTATGCTTTACACAGCGTATAAGGGTGATGTCACAGCACAACGGGAATCTAACAGGGGGAGAGGTGGAAGTCATCCTCCTCCTCCCATGACCACGCCGGCAAGGACAGGACGCTTAGAGAGGATTTAAATTTGAAGTAAGAGGACCGACCAAGCATCTTCTTCCATCTCCTGTTACAGAAATCACTGCCATATCCATACAAATTGTACAGAATGTCCAGGATAGTTTTCCAGGGACAAATGTTGTCGCTTCGTTGAACGAGGTGATCTTGCTCGACCCAGGTGCGCGGTTCCTAAAATGCCGCTACATACACGCCCACTGATAGGAGACGCGGAAGGTATTAAACTGATCAGAACAATACTAAACACACCACAAATAAGGTTTCTCTCCTGTATGGCTCCTCAAATGATGCTTAAGATTAGAAGCGGCTGAAAAGCATTTCTCACACTCCGAACAAAAATATATTTTTTTAACATTCTCTCCACTTTGAACGAAATGACGTTGGGGAAGAGATTAACATAATTAAACACAGGCAGTAAAAATACAGTTTTTAGCCATACCCTGTAACTTTAAAACTACACATCCCATCTTCATAATTACATATTTGGAATCAGCACACTAAAAACATAAACATAACCAAAAATCAGACAAATCCATCCAGGGGTTAAAAAGTTAGCTGGAGGTCCCTTTATGACCGACCGCAAGCACATTTTCCTACCCAAAACAGTTCCATAGATTTGGGCTGTGTTATCCCATCACGAATAAAAACTGTAAAACCAGTAGGGGAGAAGGTAGAGCTCAGCGGTGTTGCGGAAATGTGTAGCCGATTTTAGTTCCATGAATTTGGCTACACATACCGCTGACCTCGTCGAATGATCAAAGATGGCCGCCGCCGTGTTCGGCAAACGAACAAAGACCTCCCAGCATTAGTCAATTAAGCTGCGGTTAACCGCAGCTTCTGGGAGGTAAATTGCCTGCACACTTCCACTTCTGGGTGGTCTGCCTGTGTGGTACTTGGTTCAGTAAGCCCCATTTACTGAACCAAGTGGGAATTAGCCAGGCAGGCACAAAGGGTTTGCACCAGGTCTGGGGACACAGGGGACACCGTCTTAAAGGGGCAGTGTCCCCAACAAGTCTGGGGACACGGCCTTAAAGGGGCAGTGTCCCAATCTTCCTGATGTCCCAAGGTGTTTAAAGGGCCAGCACCAGTCACATAAAGAGTCCATAAGCCCCAATATGCCCACCGACAGTCTTAAAGGGCCATACACACCAAATAAAAGTGCATACATTTTCACAATCTCCCAGGGGCCATAGTCATGCGGGAGGAGGCTGGAAAATAGGCTTCTCCACAACCCAGGGAAGCAGGGCAATTTGCCATTTAAAGGGCCAGTTACAAATAGTTTGTAACAAGGTGTCAATCCATATCTGCCAAGTGACCCGATGTAGGGGGACTAGTCCCTATTCTGCTCTGTGTCAGTGTGTATCATGGTCTCTGAGGACGGGTGTCAATCCATATCTGCCAAGTGACCCAATGTAGGGGGACCAGTCTCTATTCTGCTCTGTGTCCGTGTGCATCAGGGGCTCTGAGGACAGGTGTCAATCCATATGTCAAGGTGTCAATATGTCATATGTCAGGTGTCAATCCATATTCATTGTGATTTAGGAATGTTAGGTGATTTCTGCCCTTTATGGATTAAAACCAGACTCTGTATCAACTGTGTAATTTTCCATGGGAGTTTTGCCATGGATCCCCCTCCGGCATGCCACAGTCCAGGTGTTAGTCCCCTTGAAACAACTTTTCCATCACTATTGTGGCCAGAAAGAGTCCCTGTGTGTTTTAAAATTCGCCTGCCCATTGAAGTCTATGGCGGTTCGCGAACATTTGCGTAAGTTCGCGTTCGCGTTCCAAAAATTTCGTGTTCGCGACATCACTAGTAGTGATGCACATGGTGCATCGCTCCATAAGAAGGACCTGAAGTGTGTATGAGAAAGATGGGAACATCTCTAGTTTACTAGCAGGAAGCAAAATATGTGATATCTAGTAAGTGCCTGGGGCAGGAGTTGTGGATTATACAAGGATTAGGTAAAACCATGAGACTGAAGGGGCCTGAAAATGGTTAAATATGTAGTGAGGGGTTCTAGGTTCTCAGGAGAGCAAAAAGAGGGTCGTATAAGAAGGTATTGCGTAGGCCTAATAAGGCAGAGAGGAATAGTCAACCATGTATGATAGAGTTGTAGTAGACCCTTGTAAAGCTGGATATGTCATATATAATTGCCCAAATGTGGAACCAAAATTGTGTCATAGTGGATTGCCCACAAGGGCCGTATGTAAAATATGGAGTGAAAGCCTACTAAGGACCCCATGTAGAAGTATTGCAGCAGAAGGCCGAAAGTGCTAAATATAAGTCGTATGTCCTATGCAATAGCCCAAATGAGGGTCTGAAGTTTGTAGTGGATTGCCCATGACGGGCCATATGTAACATATGGAGTGAAGGCCTAGTGAGGGCCAGGTGTAGAGGTATTGCAGTGGAAGACCGATAGTGCCAAATGTAAGTCTTGAGCTGCCAGGTGGATAATATGCTGTTAATAAGCAAGAAATAGTCCCAAAAAGTCTTTAATAAAAAGTATCCTTTTAGATGGCAATAAGTGCAGTAGTAATTGATCTGTGAAGGGCAGATGATGTGTCCCAATAATATGGGACACATTAATATTATAAAAAACCTACACCTACAGGGTCCAATAATTTTTAAGGACCCTGTCGGTGGCACGAGGCTGCCATAATGATCTGGCAGCCTCACAAGAAGATAGAGTGTGCAAGGGTTACTCTGCACGAAATGCAAACGAATGCCGCATGATGTTCACTGTGACCGGGATGGCGTGGAACAGGAGACTTTGTGGCTGCTGTGTGGCACCCCCTGAAAGCCACATGTGCTGCGTGACAGTCCAAGGTATGACAAATATATCAACTCAGAATGGGTGTAGTAAAATAACGATGGGTTACTCACATTTAGAGGAACTATAGCCAGCTACAGGGTGTAGAGCATACAGAGGTATAAAATCCCCACTTACAGGATATGATGTAGGTGTCCTCATTGGGAAAGGTGCCAGAAACCCAGAAAATAAATAAAAAAGCAAATAGGGTAACAAAAATCTTAAAAAATTGCTTAAAATAAATACAAATTATACTCACAAAGGTAGAGCAGACCAACTTCTCTGAGTTAGTGGCTGTGAGAGGCTTTTATTGGAGAGAATAAAAAGGTAGAAAATGCCAATTGGTACAAAACAAGTACAATATATAAAAATTTAATTGGCACAGAACACAAGTAGAGTGACTAAAAATACTTTATTGAATAAAATACAAAGTAGTAACATCTATAACGCCTTTCACCAATAGGTTTATCAAATGGAAGAAAGACATACATCCTGGCTAGCTGGGATAGATATATATATATATATATACATATATATATACACATATACATATATATATATATATATATATATATATATATATATACACATACATACATACATACATATATACACACACACACACATATATATACACACACACACACACACACATACATACATATATACACACACACACACACACACATACATATATACACACACACACACACACACATACATATATACACACACACACACACACATACATATATATACACACACACACACACACACACACACATACATACATATATATACACACACACACACATACATATATACACACACATATATACACAGTGGCGGGGCCTTAGGCAAAACTCATACATGAGGCCCCCACTAACACCATTATTGGAAAAAAAACAGCAGTTGACTTGTGTGTGTATAAGAAGCTGTAGATATATTGAAGTGCAGGCTTGCAGTAGTGGATATAGAGAACTAGTCTTTGTATACGTTGTTGCATTGTCTACCTGTGTGTGCCTGAGAGTGTGTGTCTGGCAGTGAGTATCTTTGTATATGTATGCATGTTTCTCTGAGCATGTGTATGTTTGTGTTACTGCCTGTGGCCTTTGGCATTAAGTTCATGGCGAAGCTATGTTTTATGACTGTGTGTAGAATGATTGCCTTCAGGGGGTGACAGGGTGAGTAAAGGAGTAACTGTGGCAGGGTGATTGTAAAAAGAGCAGGAGGGTGCCAGAGTGCGGAGAGTGGTGCCCGTGTGTTTAGAGGGAGAGATAGTGTGTATGGAGGGGGGTGACAGTGTGTGCAGAGAGAGGTGACAGAGTGTAGGGGGGTGGCATAGTGTGAGGGGGTGGCATAGTAAGAAGGGGGTGACAGTGTGAGAGGGTTACATTAGTGTAAGGGGTGTGACAGAGTAAGAGGGGGGTGACAGAGTAAGAGGGGGGTGACATTCATGTAAGGGGTGTGACAGAGTAAGAGGGAAGAGACAGAGGGGGGAGACCTATTGTGAGGGAGGGTGACATAGTGTAGGGGGGGTGAAAGGGGGTGACAGAGTGAGAGGGGGTGACAGTATTAGGGGGTGACAGTGTGAGGTGGGGTGATGGTGTGTGGGGAGTGACAGGACAAGGTGACAGAGTAAGGGGGTGACAGTGTGGGGGGGTCACAGGGTGGGTGACACAGTAAGAGGTGGGGTGATAGAGTGAGGGGGTGACAGGTGAGGTAGCAGGGTGAGAGGGGGTGACAGGTGGGGTGGCAGGGTGAGTGACAGGGTCAAATGTGGGGTGAGAGGGGAGGCAGGGTGAGGGGGTGACAGGTGGGGTGACAGTGTGACGTGGGGTGACAGTGTGTGGGGAGTGACAGGGTGAGGTGAGAGTAAGGGGGGTGACAGTGTGGGAGTCACAGGGAGGGTGACAGTAAGAGGTGGGGTGACAGGGTGAGA